CTTTTATAATGCAAATTAATTAATGAACAACTTCATTTTAGTTGTGGATGAGGCTTCCTATTGTACAATATTTTTGTATTTTTTTTTTTGTTCCTTTATCTCTTTTTTTCTATTGTACTATAAAGCATATTTTTTATTATGGTGAAATAATTACTGAACTGTTTCAATCGCTCGGTTAATAATTATACATAATGTTTACATCTTTAGATAGTATCGGTGTAAAATATAACAAAGGCCCGTTGGTTAGGACATGTAGAAAGAATACCAGAGGAAACAATAACTAAACTGTTTCACAAAATGGAAGGATGTGGAATCCAGGGAAGATAACCTCTCATGACCAATTTCATTGCGTACTGTCCGAAAATGATGTCTTTGTGTTCGAATAATGATTTTTCTGTGTGTTGAGGGAAGACTCAGGAACATTTGAATCTCAACTCCCAGACAGGAGACGACGTGCAATGCTCAGTCTGCACGTAAACCTTGCTAGCTGTTCCCATCAAAAACAACAAATGTCAAAGAAGCGACAGAAGTGAAAAACCATTCGTTGTGTCGGTTAGAATCGAACTCTGCCTATCCTTCAGGCGATCTGATGTAAAGATATTAATAGGTTTTAACCTAAGGCAGTCTATATGTCTCGAAGTGATTGTAAGATAAATTCTAAACCAAACATATAAGTTTGCATTCCGTAGAAACTTGTACTAAACCAACTTTGTGCAATCGGATCCTGCGGCGACACTTCACCGATAAAACGAGGAACAATAGAATACGTAACATAACCCAAAGAGTTATGGTCTAGTTTCATCTGAGCTACTGTTTCGGGTGCCAATTTTAATTAGGCCCTCCCCCTCTTCCCCCTCCCAGATAAGGGTGTTTGCAAATAGGAGGGACTGCAAAGAAGCCAATCCATCAAATCGGTGAGCGCATTACGACACCACGGTTGTCGCACGCTAGTGATGTACTAAGTGGTCCATCAATAGTCCGTCGATATCGGTACAAGTTTATAACAATACAACAAATTTATTTTTAAAAACAATCATTATCTTTTTTTTTCTTAACTTTCACAAAGTATGAGTATAAAATTATTAATTTAGTACCTAATAAAAAAGTAGAATAAACGCCATTTTGAAATTCTAATTTATATGTGAAATTTTACTATCTTATTTCAAATTACTTTCTTCATTATAAAAAACTGTCGTCATAAAATATCTTATGAAATATTAAAAACTCTTACAGTTAAAAGCTATATACTAGTTACAACTAGTAAAAATGTATATTTCGTCAAATTGAACTTCACTTTTCTCGGCTCGAAATTGAGTTAAAGTGTCACCGCATCTGAGAAAGTAACATTTGAGTGTAGACAAAACGCTTATCGTGTTTACAATGCTACGCGTGCTGCTAAGTTTTGCGATTCCAGACAAGCCTCAAAAATCTCTATTTCCAATATATCCTTCATCGATAGCCACTATAATTGCCAGCACTAACTTCGCTTTCAGTTGATTGGCGTAACTCGATAGTCCCTGCACTCATTTGCGCCCTGCACTAATGCTGGGGCAATAAATCGTAGGCAGTGAGCTCCCGTCAAATATTTGCCCAAATAATGTACAGTGGAGAATGCAAAATTACTCAATTTATATCTTAAAAGAAGTAGAATAGTACATAAATATTGACAATATATGGAACGTCCATTTGAGCAAAAAATTGCTTGCGATAGGAAAGAAATAGAGGAATCCAGTATAACAACATTTATTTGATTGAAAAGAAAAAACAATTATCTATTCTTTGTTTATTCTTTATTGAATTTCAATAAGGAGTTTCTATTAAACGTTTGCCAAAAAGGTAAGATAACATTAAAATAAATGTTCCTACTTATCTTTACTTCAAATTAGAACTATCATTGGTGTTCACGTATTATTCGTTACAGATAATCCTGGTCGAATCATGCTTCCATTTGTAAGCCGATTGGCTGAAACCCGACACCGAATCCTCGATACACGCGCCACACGACAGAGCTGAAGGGAAATGAATGAGTTGCGCTCGTAATAATAATTGGTGAAAAAAAAAGTTTTTTTTTTTCATCTTTCGATTATCGATCGTAATTTACTGTTATTCGCAACTTTTGATATGCTTTTCAATCGGTTTAAATTATTTATTTTTTTAAGTTTTGAGTCTATGATAAACATTAGTTCGCACTTGAACGTCTTTATTTATAGCTATTTTCAAGCGGCTTCGCCCATGTATATTATAGACTATATCACCTGCGTATTATGTAGCTTCCGACTGCTTGTGAACGATTTTTTTTTTAAATGAACTCAATAGTTTCGGTGCCTATTTAATATAAATAATCGATCAAATATGTTGTCTTTTACTATTAGTCTAATTCATAAAAATATTTGTAATAGATAATATTTGCAAAAATATATATTCAAATCAAAAAAATTAAATGCTTGATGTAAGTAAACAACTCCATTGTGATGCGTTGTCATCCCTGCACCGGACTAAAACCTAAAATTAGTTTGTATAAAGTCTTCTTTTGTAGAAATACGAGTACATTTAGATTTATATGGCTGTTAATATTTCTTCGTACGCTTCACAATATGTAACCTCAAACAATTACGCTATTTGAAAACTTTTTTGATTTTTTTTGTTATCAGTTTATACTTGTTTAGACGTTTTACCTAATTTATTGTTGAAACATTAAACACTGGTCGTAATATATTTAAAAGTTAAAATGTTTAAATTTAGAATTAACCAAAACTGTGTGACTGAATGCATTTTTAATCACACATTAAGCTCCACGTAGAAACTTATGTCACATAATTTGGTCGTCAACAAGGGACATTAAACTCGTCTTTTGTTTGTTTATGGGAATACTACTTTCTTTTCATCATAGTTTTGTATGTACAATAAATTAATAGACCGTATCTAAGCCATGTTTACAATAGAGGTGACGACTGGGTGAAAAAAAAGAAATTCAATTTAGTCCGTCAAACAGATAATAGAAAAATATGATGAACAAACAAACAAAAATTAGTCGTCACCCCTATGCATAGACATTATAAATTGACATTTAAAGCTGTATTCCATTACAATCATGGTACCATACCTTTATAAACAGATGATGTTTAGAAATATCACTGAATGACAAAATTTCGCAAATATATACGACATTCAGAACATTATCCTCTTTAAATTTGTGATGTGAAACATACAGGACAAATGAAAACATCTCGTTACCATTGCACGATCACTAGAGTGCGCCATAAAAGCAATTCTATCACATTAGACTAATTTAAATTCTCATGACTTTTCACACGAGTCCCCGTCACTGTTTGTACACAACCATTTGGGGGTGTATTAGTGAAGATTAGGGTCCGCAAGTGTGTGCGTGACCCTAAGATGAATTAGGGGATTACACACACTGCATCATGCAACTGCACTCTGATTTTGCACGCTGATATAATCTACAGGATGAGTGTGATTAGGAAACAGTTTCATCATAAAAGAAAAAAGAAAAAAAATTGAATTTGGAAATACATTCGATTGCGATTTGGAAGTTCAAAAATCGAATGTCTATTTCATTTCCTGGCAGAAGTTTTGATAACCCAAACCCGTTTTCGAGATTTAAGTAAAATTTGTATGCATAGAGTTTGGAACCAAAGCGAAATCCGTGTTAATAAATCTCTGTGAGCGAATAAAACAATTACACAGACAATAATCCCGTTGTTTTTGTCAAACTGAAACCGTTTTATTGTGTCTTCTACACCCTATATCGCGATGGGGTAGCATGCAACATCGAGGGGCGACGGGTAATGGCCTAAGAGTAATTTTATTACTTTGCCCCTATTACCATCACAATGTGCATGCTACCGGTCGAATACGATACGCAGACACTCGATACATCACATTGCGTTTCAAACATCAGTTTAGTCGATAACACGTTAACATTATTAACGCACGTCACTACTAAAATTTTTAAATAGCGAACAGCAGAATAAGCCGTCGTTACAATTTATATTGCTTTATAATAAATAATACAAAAAGAAATAAAAACATTTTCAAGAAAAGAGTAGTAAACAGATGTAGACAAGAAACAAAAGAATGCAAACAACGAATTCGGTATTTTATTATTAACGACCGGTACAACGAGAAAAGAAATAAGACGGCGCTCACACCTACTACGTACTGATTCGATTTGTTCGTTCCACGATGAATATTTGATACGGCTCAGTGCACACTAATTTGTTTATCGTGTTCCACGAGCTGCTCCGCACTCGCTCCTGCTGTCCTGGTGCCGGCCGAGAAGCGGGCGGAGGAAATCTACGTTAATTATTCAGTAGAAACACTTACAAAGCACACTTTACAACAATTCAATAATATATGTTCGAATTTTAAAAATTTTACGTCACAAATTCATAATTGAAAAATAGTCGATAATTATTACACCACATACACGCTCAAAATCGTAAAACTAAATTCAGAAAAGCGTTAGTTAATTTACCAATGTACAGACAGCCAACTAAACAGTAACATAAGTTAAACACAATAAAATTGAAAACTGTTGTAAAATCCTCCGTCGAGTTTTATTACGGTGTAACTGCGCAAATATAATTTTCTGGGGAGCAGATGAGACTATTAAAACACTTTTGGGAGATAATCGTTGTCGTAAAAGGGCCAGCAATCATTAGTAAGCACAGTATCATCGAAGGGTGAACTTCTATTTGATTGCTTCCATTAAAAAATTACCTGTGTATTTACTTAATCGCATTCAGTGGCAAGTGAACATATTTTAGGCGCAAAGGAATTCGGGGCTTAGAGCCACGTCATTTGTTATACCGTAAGCAGACCACAGATGCAGCGACATACGCCTCATTTCAAACGTCTCTCCATCGACGCAACTCCAAACGAGACACAGCAAGAATTAATTAACCGTTGGTACGTTAGATACGAATCAGTGGCATGGCAGGTGATTAAATAAATACAACTTGGCATTTCTAATTAATATGCCAGACGCACCTCTGATAAGCGGGCGCTCGCGAGACATCATCTACGATTCCTGTGAGCCTGGTACTTCGCGATTAACACGTTATTATAATTATGTGAAATTTGTCTTGTCTGTACGTGGAATGGATAAAGCGCTCGTTAGCGGAAAACTATGAGGCAGAAATCCAGATTAATAGTATAATTTATGTTTATGTTTAATTAAGGTATTAACATGCAATGTCGTATTCTTTTACGGTTTCCTGTCAAGGATAAAATTTGATCCATCATGGCGCTGAATTGTTAACACTGAACAACCGCTGTTAATGAAGTTTAAACAAAATGAATAACCTCCATAAAACTCTTTTATGTTCACAACTTTAATATGGATACCTATATAACTTAATGATGGACTTTTATGGGATGAAAACTATGAAATTTTTGTAACAAAAACGGTTCTAGTATGTAAAGACTTGACATTTTTAAGAACCGCACATTTTTTCGAAAAACATGCATAGAACAATTACTTTTTTCATATTTTATCCATAGCTTATGAAAAGGTATAGCCACTTACTATTTGAATTAAAATAAATACTCATACATATTTACACACTATTTTCTAATTCTACAAACAAACATAAAAATTTAACAGCATTCTTCATTTCAGGTGATGCGAGTAATGCAAGTATCGGGTCCGGGGAAGGCACGGGGGAAGAGGATGACGATACAAATGGAAAGAAAAACCAGAAGAAACGCGGTATCTTCCCCAAGGTGGCCACCAACATTCTGCGGGCGTGGCTCTTTCAGCACTTAACGGTGAGCTTTCCTGTTTTATCATGTTAACCTAGTACTTCTATATTCAGTCGTTCCTCTATGGGATCCTGGTAATATTGCTGGGAAGCCATGTGCATCTAGTTATCAATCTAACACAAAAACCAAACTTTTTATCATAACAAAGTATTACAGTAGCAGTTGCCCACTACTAGTTCTGAATACACGAGATCCGTTGTGCGTGAATCGACAGAAATTGCAGAAATCCTATTGGTGGAAGTTGAAAAAACTGTTACTACGTCAACACTGAAAACCTCCACGCCGAGTCGCGGCCCCGTCGCTTTTCAATTAAAATTTCCTTGCGAGAGCAATAAATTTTTCATTGCGTAGACAAAGCTCACTTTTCAAAGGGTACATGGCATTTCTAAAGACATTGAAAACACAATTACGAAACTGTATTCGACATCCATTTAAGAGACAGAGCATTTTCCGGGATCGTTTGTGATTGATGAATGAAGAGAAAAGAAAAAAGTAAGCATTAGCATAAGAAGTTCAGTTAAAAGTGCTATGGTATCAGTGCGGCGGCGGGACGGTGCACGGCTCAGTGTTGCGTAGTAATTTCTAGAATGGGTTTTCGCGGGGCGGGCGCGGGGGCGGAGGGTGCAATTTCATTACCGGTCCGGATCCGCGCCCATAAATCACCAGGGCCGAAGAAGGCGCCGCTCGCTCAGCACAGTTCAGGTGATGCTCGCAAAGTCTCCTGTGAGCCTGGTATTTCTGTTTCATTTGCCGCGAGCCGCCGAATCCCACTTTCTTTATGGCTATGAATTCCCCGAATTTTCGACGCGATCCACTCCTCGGTTACAAGCGCGAATTTTAATTACGACGACTAGGAAAAGCTTTTACAATTAGCTTCATGCCTAAAATATTGAGACAGGAATTTATTATTGGTCCAATTTGAAACGTCTGCGTAGCACCCGTCCTGCTCTGTCCTCCTCTATAAAGTCGACGATTTATTTCTATTGTGTTTTTTAGATTTCGAAGTTTAAAAGTGTAACCGGCGACAATCGAATTAGAGAGCTTTTAGCGCTTTTCGTTTGGCGCGTTTTTGCGCTTCGCTGTCCGCGCCCATTACCGCGGTCCAAATTACTTATAATTGCTTCGCTTAGCGCTAAGTGCTTTCATTACGGACGTCTGCAAAACAGTTCCGGTATAGACCCTGACATGTCGATAATATTTTCTTTACTATTCTGAAACTATGCTATAAATTTCTTCTGTAAATTATAACTGTTAGTAATTCTTATCATCAGGAATATAAAGAGAAATGGTTTTCCATATTTGAATTTTTCGAATGTTCAAATTCAATCCAACAGAACATGAATAATATTTCAAATTGGCGTAAAAAGATCACTCGACCCACATATCGGGGCATGAAACTGCATAGCTGTCAACGTGACGTTTGTAATATTCATTCGATTACGCGGCGCGGGAAATGGGACGCCGAGCGGTGACAGCGCACCACCTGCGCCGCTACTATTCGAATTCAGAACTGGGCCTCTGATTGGCCGGCTACTGTTTCTATTCGTCGCTCTGCCAGCTAGAAACAAATGAATGCAGTGTTTTACCACAAAGGTTGGATTCGAATATGGAACATTTGATTTGCGATTACAGCGCCCGCAACAGTAACATGATGGAATCGAATGAAACGTTTGATTGAATTAATACGACGACAACGCCAGCAGTCAAGCGCGAACCAAAAAGGAAAGCGAGCTGATCTGGCATGAGCACGGGATCGGTCGCATTTAGATTCAGCGCGCTGCTCGCAATATTGGTAACAATCCGAATGTCCGGTTAGCTACTTGAATTTTAAAAGTGTATGTGATATATGCACTGCGGAGACCATACTGAATGGTAATTTCATTGATTTGTCAGTTCGATACGGGTTATTGCATTTGTAAGTCTATTCGAACACACTTTATTGTAAGTACGATCAAATAAAAGCACAGTATATATTCATGTTGAGCTCACTGAAATAAATACATAATGTTAAGTACGTGTTTCTTAATTATATTACATTACATTTGATATGTTTTCCGAATATCTTTCAAATCGTAGTCGAAGAAATTTATTTTTCTTTATATTTATACATTTTTAAATTGTAGATTTATAGAACGTATAGCATCCGATTTCTGAAAATGTGTTGGTAAAAGATCTATCAAAAATACGGGTTTTTAAATTCTTTTAAAAAAAAAATAATGTAAAAACATTGCCAACGTAGTGGGATTTTCCATTTAAAATGTTTGTTACTTAATCATTATATATAAAACTACCTATTATTAGAACTGCTTAAAGAACCAAACGAAATTAAAAGTCCGTTTTTAAAGTTTTCAAAGTAATTTTAGAAAAATAATTTAGTACGTACTTGTGATTATGTCATACTGAATAAAAAAAAATAGTGTGCCAACCTCTTTCGTACTCACACGAGTCCGCTTTTAGCGTTCCAGGAAAACATTCATTAATTCCTCCGCGGCGTAGGGCGGCAAATCTCTTAATGCCATACCTGAGACGTGTACGCGAGCCCGAAAATTTTCCCCTGAAATAATATTGAATAACGTCGTGGACTTACGACAAATCCTGCGCCTTGAGCCCTCGCTAAAAATAATTATAACACCAGTAATCCCGCGACAGATTCCCGCTGTGACACCAGCCGCATTGTTTTCGGATGCCTTCGTACATGAGTAACTTCATTCTCTCATTATTCAGCGGTGTTTCGGTATTTATCGAATGTAACAATTTCTCTACTTTCTTAAAATAAAACTTCTTTATACGAGCTGTTGTTGATTTAATGAATTTTAATTTAATATTTTGAAATGTTTTCACAAGGTAAAGGCAAAATTTATTAAATACCCAGGATAGAAGACTTGAACAGTTTACGAAACACGGAATACCTAGGGCGTGCGGTGTTGAGTTACGCCAGTATCGAATTCGCTTTGAGAAGCCGCGGGTAATAGACGAGCCACAATTTGTTTTATTTATGCACACGCAAACTTAGAACGTCTATAACGCCATACTCTCATACTTAACGGTTATTGAGCAAGCACGCTAATAGAAATGGCTTATTGGACCCTTTACGATAGATTCGAAATTGAAATTGTGTATAAATTCTAAATTCAAAATAGCATTTATTTTCATAAATTATACCAAATTAGATGAAAAAAGGTCAAGGTGAAATTGAAAAAAAAAAACTAACGAACAACGTCATAATAAAGGCACTTAAATTACTTCCCTCATCTTTAACAAAGTGGTAGCAAGACAAAGTTCCGTACTATAACCAAATTAAAAGGATTACGGGGCATCCATTTTCGAAGCTGTTATTAGTGTCGCTAGGGAAAATCCACCCGAAGCTTTTATTTACCCATCCCCACTAACCCAATAATGTTCCGCCAAAATATGACTCAATTTTCGACCGTTTTCGGTGTTAAAAATCTTGAGGAAAGTTGGCCTTCCCTAGCTTTATTTAGGTAAAGGGCGACTCGTAAGTTTCGCTCGGAGCGGGGGCAAATTGCAAGCGAATCCGGGAAACGAGAATTTATTAATATTGGAAGACGTGGACTGAGGGAATCTCCGCGAATTAAACGGTAAAGACCTTTTTTATTCGAAGCCTGAAATAAATACTGGTACACCGTTGACGTTGCGTTTTGATAGAAATTAAACGCTAAGTAATATATGGTTTGTGTTGAATTTTGTTTGCAGTAAAAATGCGTTGACATTTAAACTACGGTAAAGAAAACTCTTCTAATTTTTCTAAAGGCGATTTACTTTATATATTATGATATCTATTATTGTTATTTAGCATATTTATTATCTTTGTTAGTGTTGAGTTACACGTAGTTATATTTTAGATCGTTAAAATACGGGTACCGCATTTTTTGTCTTTTTTATAGGATATTTTGAATTGTAACTAAACATAGTCGAGCTGTTCGCGCGCCGGTTTCAAAGTGTCGCCATCTCTGAGGTCTATTGTCTCGGATCTGGGTAATGTGGTCTCAGATACACCATAATACGAAGGCTTTAATTACTCACTTTGAATCTGATCAATGTATGTAATGTTATCTAATATTTATAAATAGCCATACTTAAATTCGATTACAATAACTTTTGAAATTTACAATAAAACCTTAACTTGATAATTGCTGTTCAAAAAACGAAACTAGTTGGTATATTGATTCATACGGCAATGCTCTTTCTAAATATAAAATAAACTGCGCTGTTCTTCAACGTGCGACATTTGGGAGCGAGATCTATCGCCAGGCGCCCCCTTACGGGCGACAGAAATCATTTCCGTTTATCCGGAGAACAGATTTCCGAAAACTACCCACTTTTTAAGTAAGCGACGCTTAATACCGCGCCGACTACGGACTGGACAGGAAATTCGGATCTGCCGGAAATAGAGTGTGTAGGTGAGATGATATTATGCGTCCTCAGCTGATGGCAGAAAGGGACAGAGAACACAGGAGTTGTAGATGTTCTCAAAATTTAAATTTCTAGTTTGCGCGGAATATTTCCTTGTGATTAATACGACTAATGGGAGGAATGTTCGAATTTCTAATGAAAAATACAGAATTCTTTCAATTGTTCAAATTTCAGAATTCGAATACTAAGCTTTTACAAATAAAAAAGTATTTCTAGAATTTAAATTAAGAACTCGCTTTCTCACCGCCGCATCGAAATTCATAATGGCGCCTTCATTTGTCGCAAGTTATATTTTTAGCGGGCTTTTTCCTAGTTTAATTAATATCGTCATTTGATAGGAGAGTTTGCCGAAAGGGTTTCCGTGTTTGCGAGTGCCGGGTTTTATTCCCCGGAATAGATTAGGAGAGTTATCATATTGCTTAGGTTTGCTTAGGATGTTTGACATTAGAGGGTGACAGGGAATATTGACAGAGATGGTAGTCGAAAAGATTAGCGCAAAAACAAGCAGCTAATATTTGAGGAGCTGATAAGTTGACTTGTTTATTTTTTGTTAAATTCTATGACGAGATGCATACTCTTTGTATATATGTATTATATTTAGAGGGTATATTTTTTATATTTTTCCCGTTAATTTAGGAAGTTGGAAAAAATTTGGTCGGCTTTTATTCAGCTATATATATTTTCATGTCGGAAGAAAACATTGGAACATGTTTAAATTTTGAGAAAGCGTTATATTTCTAGTATACCATAGTCTAGTCTGTGCCACAGATAATGCCGGTGCCCCGCGGGATACAATGCAAATCATAGACCCGACAAGTACGTGTAGATACCGTTCTTACAATATTGAAGATTTTTGAAACTTCTAATAACACAGTAGTATGTATTTGCAATTGTATCTTAAAATTATAATGATACCATATTATTTTTTATCCAAAGGGAACTTTAGAATGAGATAAAAATGCTTTATACTTTATTCATACTTTTATTTATAGATGCTCCAATATCGAGGTCTATGGTCTCATTTTCGAGACAATAAACGTAAAATTCCTATTAGAATTCCATATTCATTATACATGAGTAATTTATTACATTCAAAATGAGAGGATCTTATAAAAAATAAGATAGACTATTGAAGTAACCTTCAGGCGAGACTTCAATTTAGCTACAGGGATATTGCTTATAAAATCAGCTGTAAATCAAATTCGATGTGTCGTTTTATTTTGATTAAGTTTTATGGATAATTGATTTAACAATAATATTTATTTTATTTCATGACAATATATCATAAAAAAATACCAAAACTTTATATTTTTGTAAAATACTCGAGTATAATACACATTTCACTATTACAAAG